AATAAAATGTTTGTAAAATAGAAATTTATCGTGAAGTATTTGCTATATCAGGCATCGTGTAGATTGTAGTGACGACTGTGTTGTTGAAAATCATTTCATATATTTAAAATATTATTCTAGAATTGAGATGTTCCGATGGATCATTGGTTAACTGCTTAGTGGATCCATGTGACGTGACGTCATGCGAACTTCCTTATGCTGGATGTGAAGCTGATTACTGCGGTGGTTGTAACGCTATATACTATGATGCTGACGGCAATGTATTGGATTGTTCGGGTAATTATACCACAACTGATATACCATCTTATTTATTGACTATATATTGTAAAGTAATTGTCATTTTATTGTTTCGTTTTTGGTGACCGTTTTATCAATGGTTGTCGATCAATTGTTTTGTGATCTTGGACTTGTAGATTTCCCTATAAGACTTTTGTTTGAGGATTTATGGTTGGATATGTTATTGCAACATTGGAACACAGAAATGTTTCAGCAGACTTACCTTTGTTTACTGGTTTAATGTTGTTCATTAATCCAAAGCTCAAATTATGCATTCGGGTTAATCGCAAGCTAGATCGACGTGGTAATCATTAAAGTGTATGTTTTGTAATACGTCAAAAATAGTTAATAATACAACTATGAGTCAATATCATTGATGATTTATCTCATTATAATACGACTTGGATATAATAAACCGTACTGAAGAATTTTCCAGTATGTGTTCATTCTTGTTATATCGTAAAATATAACGATTTCAATAGTACTACATTCAAAGTTACACTTTTTACCAAGGAGGTTGTAACAAACTTAAATATAAAGATGCAATCATGATTCGAGTCTTCAGGCTGGGAATTGCCCGCATCATGTTGTCAAACTGTTTTTATCTCGGCTAAGCTTAGAACGTCAAAAGTGTCGTCTGCGTATAGACATATTTTAATTACAAATCAAATATTTCATTCAGCTTTTTACAAATTATTGACATGTGTTTGAAAATCTAACCGATACACCCTGTGATCTTGATATCAAAACATAAGTTAGAATGTGGCACAACAAATAACGATGTTTATCCATCTGTTAGGACAAAATAAAGAATGACAATTGCTATACTCCAACCCCCTCCCCCCATTTTGTTGTATTTTGACTGTGACAATGTTGTCTGTTCAATATTCATCACGTCTCTAACCCTTCTAATAAAAAATAAACACAAATTTGCTTTTAAGGATAAGTAACGGCTTGAATACAACAAGTATTTCCCTAATCAAATTAAATGGTTCAATATGTAATCATCTGCTATCTGTTTATTTATTTGGAACAGCTATTTAATTTGTTTATGTTTGCTTTGTCCAGCATGTTCTTAGTTTAGCAAAGTTATTGTTAGTTATCACCTTTCTATACCGTAATTACGCTAGATATCCACCACTTCACAATTTGGCTAAAAAGTTAATAAAAAAAACGCGTTTATCAAATATTGCTACTTCTGATGATATTGTCGTACCGTACTTTGTTAATTTCAGATCACCTTGGCGAATGTCCAACAATTGTTGATGATGACCAAATATGTATCCCATGCATAAGTGACAGGAACTGCGGTACCTCCGAAAAATGTTGTGATGATTGTTGCAAGGTTGCTGTAACAAGTGAGAATTTGATATTAATGT